TCGTAGATTCATGCATTTCACAAAAAAAAAAAAAAAAAATAGAATCTGCCAAAAGTGTTTTATAATTACATAATCACTTTAGGCAGTTGCTAACCTCTAAGTCAATTATCTCTAGATCAGCCATTATTGTATAGAAATACAAATATTGAGCCATTTTAATACATTTCACAGAAAGAATATATAGTGTCAAGTATTCCAACATCTTTTTATCAACAGTGAGAAATATTTCACTTGCAATAGAGACAATTCCAATACAAGAGGATAAAGTTTGGTATTCAAAAAAATAGTTCTATTCAGCTTCTTTCTTTAGTCTAGAATCCAAAGTCTCAACTAAATCACATAAGCTACTATTACTATGCAATGATCGTTTAATTATATTGTTATAATATTCAACACGTGATGTGGTTTGGACTCCGGCAGTGAAAATTTTAGATGTAAAAGCACATGCCCACGTATGATGACCTGGATATAGAACTCTATTTAAATAACTTGCAGAGGATAGAAATTTTTGTAATAACCTTTGCCATCTTGTTTCAAATAATGTATTATTCAAAGTATTGCGACAATGAAAGAATTCCCCAATAAATTAATTGTATATATTTTCTAAACCAAAAAAGTCAATCAATAAGGCTATATGAATACTAATTTCTAATAGCTGAATATATAAACTATATATAATAATTTAAATTAATACCTAGAACTGCTTTAAAATTCTTCAGAAGGTTTTGATTGATATAATAAATACAATATAATAACCTGGTATTTTCATAGACCTGTTTAATTGTGCTATCTATTGCTAGGTTTGCATCTGTCATAAAAACTAATGACTCAGCACTTGTTGCCCTTTTAGTGCATTGGAGAATCCATTAATAAGACTCAACTGTTTCATCTGATACTAATGATTGTACTACTAAATGTGACCTAGTATTATTATTGACAATTAGAAATAAACTAAGAGGCATCTAATATCTATTTGTTTTAGCCATATTGTCATTGAGAATAATGTCATAATATTCAAGCCACAAAGAAACTTGTTTGGGTGTCATCCAGAAAAGTCAGATAAGACGATTGTCATTATCCAGCTCAAACTCTACAATCCACTCTGATTCCTCGAATCTTTTTTTAGTTAGAAATAAGAGAAGTTAGAATGCATCTGATTCAAGATCTCGAAACTTAACTTTAAAATGTTGAATAGTATTTGAGATATCTGAATCTAAAAAGACTATATCTGGATATCTGGCCCTTAGCAACTGGCATTGTACAGTTATAGAAAGATTTCTATTTTTGGTATAAAATTTTATATCATTTAATATATCCTTTTTAATTGATCGAAATTTGGTGCTATATTTGGAAGTCTCAGGATGGAGTTCGTGGTTATGAGTATTAGCAAATGTTGTAATTGTTATACAAGTTGCATTCTTCAGAAAATTCAAGTTCGTGTGCTATTCACATTCTTGACATTTTGATTTTCAATCACAATGGGTATTAATATTAATATTCTTTTTTGGACTATACTTTCCTTCAAATTCACACTCTAAAGACCTATATCTTATGATATTATTATCATGTTCAACCCTTTTTTTTATAATGGCAAACCCAAATTGCTAGCCGTAGGCTTCAAAAAAGGAATCAATACCATCCCAATTTTGGAATATGTAACTGACGCTTAATGTGAAAAAATCATACATTCTGTCTAAAAAAGCTAAGTTGAATTTATTTTAGTATAATCAATTTATTGTATGAAATACTAACACAAAATTTTAAATAAAG